ACGGGAGGGGGCGGGGCCTAGTGGAGGAGCCGTAAATGTCACAGGGAGCCGGAGCCAGGCAGTGTGGGATTTCATGAAGCTGCCTCTGAAGGCCTAGAAGGAAAGCGAGCCGGGAGCCTGCTGGGAGGTCTGGACCAGAGCCTGCAGGGTGGGAAGGAGGACGGATCCGAACACACTGACAGGTGACTTTGGATGGAGGAAGCGGGATGCGAGGTCCAGAATGGTGCTGGGCTCCCTGCCTGTGTGTCCCGGGTGAGAAACCCAAGGAGGGCGGCCACCCAGCCAAGGCCAGGGCCTGTCAGGAGCAGTTGCTCCAGATGGTTCCAGTAAAAGATAATTTGGAGGACATTGTATGCCTGTGACAGGAGTCACCTGTTCTGGGCTCAGTGAAAGCCCAGAGGCTCTGAGACAATTAGGAGAGCTGCTGGGGCCAAAACCCGCTGCCACATGGAAACTGGGAAGCCATCAAGTTCTCAGAGAGAACAGGACTCAACTTGCTTCCTTCCCGAGCGATTCCTCTCGAATGGGACCTTGGCTTTAGGGCCTGGGGACCCGGGGGCTCTCCCTGCTTTGGCTTGGGAAGGTGTAGCACTCTTTCCAGAGCCACAAGACCCAAGGGCAGCAAAGCTAGGCATGTCCCATGGGCTTAGAGAAGCAGGGCATTGTGGGATTTGTAGTCCCCTTGCTGCCTCCTTTCCCCAGGATGGTGGCTTCTGCACTCAGCTCCCCTAAGGTTCCGACTTGGAAAATAAGTGATTCCCTTGAATTACGTGGTACAACCTTCCCAAGGAAGAGATGCCCCGACCCCAGGAGGCGGATGCTCAGAGGACGGACCTCCGCCTTGCAGCAGGGCCTGTGGGCTGGAGGGACTCCCGCTTGGCCCTGGCCTGGGCTGAGCGGCCTTCCTGCATCCCTGAGGTCATTGCTGAGTACTGTTATTGCAAAGTGGTGGAGCCCTCCCCCGGGCAGGAGATATTTTTACCTGTCTGCTTCCTAGTCGGTGTTTTTATCTTTTTAGGAAGATGCACAATTCAGTGGCTCGGGCCTGCCGCTCTCACGTGCTGTTCTGAGCTGCAAGCTGCACGGTTGCTAGGTGACAGACGTGGCCGCGGCTTCCTGGGCCTTGGAGCCCCTCTGCATTGTGCTTTAAGTCATGGAGCCTTTCCTTTCAGAGAACACCACGGAACCTCATCTCCCGTGCTGCTCGAGAAAGCAACTTTAACGGCTCACCCAGCTACTCTGGGGGCTGATTGCAGTCCGGCTGGGCCGGCTGTCAGAGTGTCCCCAGGGCGCCCCATGAAACTCAAGGGAATCATTTATTTTCCAAGTCGGGACCCTAAGGGAGCTGAGTGGAGAAGCCACCATCCTGGGGAAAGCAGACAGCGAGCTCTCAACTGACAGGGTGGCACGACACAGGCCCAAGCAGGTGCGGCGGCTAGAGCCTGGGGTTCGCAGGCCTCACTCTCACCCACGTGCACGAGGGGCGCTCCTGGGATGTATGCAGAGCTGACGGGGCCTCAGAGATCATCCAGACCAACCCGTTTCACACACAGGGAGCGCGAGACCCTGGGAGGTCAGGGCGATGGTGCCGTGTGCTCAGTTGGTGGCGAGGTGCCCTGCACCTTGTCGGCCTTCTGATACCTAGGTGGGGGCTGTCTCCCCAACCTGCAAAGGGAGGACCAGAGAGGAATTCTGGGTCCTTCTCTGCTTGGGTGCTTGTCCCAGCCTGTGCTTTGGGCTCATTGGCTGGGTCCACGTTGGATTCCCATGCACTGGTCTGCGAGCTGACCTTCCTTAGCATAGGGACCCCAGGAGGGATGGGGGGGGGGAAGGGAGGGTTGTTCCAAGTCGCTGCTGGCCCCACCTCCCCTTTAAAAGCACAGAGAGAGCACAGGCATGAGGAGGCCTGGGTGCTGACAGCTGTGCCACCTGGGCAACGTCCTATGTTCCCTCCGTTCTAGGTGCGAGGGATCCAGCAGCGAACAAATGAGCCAAATATTTCTTCTTGTGGAAGTTACCCATTTCTCCTAGAAGGGCCAGGTACTAAAGAAGGAAACAGACATATAAGGGTGAAGGGTGGTCCTTGCTCTAGAGAGAAATAACAAGGGGTGGCTGCGGGGGTGGCAACCTGGAGGGCTGCTATTTTAGGCTCCAGAAAGGCATCCCTGAGGAGGACACATTTGAGCAGAGGCACTCAGAAAATGTATGTCAAGTGAGCAATGGAGCGATGAATGAATGAATGAATGAATGAATGCACTGGGAGCCCTCAAACCCAGGTCTGTCTGACTTCCAGGCCCCTGATCTTCACCACCACCGCCTTCTTGCTGTGCCCATCCCCGAGGAGTCTGGCCCAGTGGCTTTGGGCTGTTCACTCGCTCTCTCTGGGCCTCCGTGTCCCCATACATAAAATGAGGATGGTGCTAGGGTCCCTCAAGCTTTCATATTTTAAGTACCAGACTCGGGCGTTGTCATCTGAGCACATTCACTGGGCTCGGGAGGTCCAGTCGTGGCTGCAGCCCAGCCCGGAGCCTCAGCTTGCGCCTACACCAGCACTTTGCATCCTGCAGACCTGACGGCATGGGAGGGCCCTGGGCCCCATCCTGCAGTGCAGGGTGCTGGGCACGGCAGGGATGTCTTGAGAAGAGGGGAGAAGCTCAGCTCGCATTGAGCTGTTTCTTGTGGTTTCCCTGATGCTGCTCTGGTAACTCTCTCTGGCTTTACCACAATGTGCGGATTTTGTCCTTGAGCCCTCCTCGTCTAAAATGATGCGCCCTCCCCGCCCCCAGCCCTTTCTCCTGTTGGTGACCAGAGCTGCCACTCACTGGGCTATTTATGGGGAAGCACGCTCTCCAATGGGTCAGCATCAAGATAAATTCTGCAGACTTGCGGAATCCCCCTTGCTTTGCTTCAGTTGTGGCAGGATGTGCAGTAAATCAAACCTAATGCGTTGCAGATCGCCCTGATCAGATCCTGCTGCAGGCGGCCCTGGAGACAGGCTCGGGGCTGAGGCACCCTGCCGACTGCAGTCTCCAGCAGGACCTGGCCCTTCTCTCAGCTCCAGTTTTAATCAAAATTCTCGGTGTCAGCTGTAGGGGAGGTGGGGCAGCTAGACAAGCAGCCATTGCGGGTGCCTCAGGTTCGCTCCATTTAAGTGCCCTGGGGACAGGGACCTGCTGGCAGGGAGCGGGGAGGGCCTCACCTGGAAGCCCAGGTGAGATCGCAGGCCTCCCTGGCACAGTGCCCTTGGGCAGCATTTGCTTGTGTAGCATGGGCAGGACAGCAGCCCAGGGAGGCTGAGGACTGGAGGGTCCGTGGACACACACTCCCACCTGGGGCATCTCCAGGACGCAGTGGGATATTCGGCTGACCCGCTGCAGAGTCCCAACAGAGAGCCATGTGTATTCTAGGGAATTCTGGGGTCTCCTAGGCAAGCTGGCTCTGTCCCCGTCTCCCAAAGCCCAAGACCCTGACTATTCCTGGGCTGGCAGTCACTAAAGACTCACTGTCCTCACTGATGTGGTCCAAGGCCTGGCCTGGGAGGGCTGGCTAACCCCGCAGACCAGCGTGGACAGTTGTCCCCATCGGCCAGGCCTCCTAGCCTCATTGGCAGGATTCGGCTGGCCAGGTCCCCTTGAAGTTCAGTCTTTGCCCGAGTCAGAAGGCGTGGGCCAAGGCCAGCAGGGAGGGCAGCTGGGCACGCTTCTGCTGTGCAGTGACCTTGCCCGGCCGCGTAGGTGGCATATCCAAGGGGAACAGACAGGAGCCGGCTTCCGGAGGCAGCTCCTCCCGTACAGAGCCGGGCAGTTTACATCTCTGGGAAGATGCAGGGCAACTGCAGGCCAGGTGTACATGTGTTTAATTTTACATTCTCTGACCTCCGCTTGATGAGGAAGTGCTTTGAAATATAGCAGAATGCGGGATCCTTCAAAGGATTCACTTCCTTGGTGCTTTATTTTCTTAAGGGGAAGCATGAAAGGCAGATGAGGGATGGCAGGGGAGCGTGTCGCCTCCCCCGCCCCCTTGTGGAGACATTATCTGCTGTGAAACTGTCGCTGAAGGATGGAGAACCAGCTCTTGGCTGCAGTGGCCCTCAGATAATGTCATTGGTGAGCGATGACCCAGGGTTTGTTGGCACCTCCAGGGCTCTGGTGCCAGAATCCTAGCCGAGCCTGGTCAGCGCTCCTGCCTAGGGAACGAAGGAGCAGGGCCTGGTGTCCGGGGGTCCCGAGTGAGAACTCTAATCCTTTCCCCACCAAATATTCATATCCCTTTGAATCCCCTGGAGATCCTATAAAAATACAGAGAAAGATTGAATAGGTGTGGAATGGGCCTGACACTGCATTGCTAACCAGCCCCTGGATGCCGCTGGCCCATGACGTTTTGAATAGAAAGACCCTTCCTAGAGAAGGTAGCCACTGGCTTCCCAGGTCCCAGCAGGGGTTCAGGCTCAACAGAACAGAGAGCATGGACTTGGCTGAGCCCTGGGAGCGACGGCTGTGGGACCCAGGTGGGCTTGAGCACTTGGATCTGCATGTGGGAAGGGAGCGGTGTTGCCATGGGCAACCCTTGATTGGGACTTGGTGTCTGGTGTGTCCTCTTTTGCCTGTTAGATTTGCCCTTCTGAGGGTGCTCAGATAAGGCCTGTGGGAAACTGAGTCCCGACGGGGAGGAGGGCCAGCTCAATAGTTCATGCCACGGACCAGCTCCGCGTGTGTGACAAGGAGTTGATTTAGTCAGGCCAGCTAACCCTCCCCTGCTCCCCTGCCTTCACAGGTCCCGGATGAGAAGGTGCTGACAGCAGTCGAGTCCCACCTTCTCTGTGTGCTGGGGAGCAGGGCCTGTGGCCCCAGTGTCACCGATGCCGAAGAACAGCAAGGTGACCCAGCGTGAGCACAGCAGCGAGCATGTCACGGAGTCGGTGGCCGACCTGCTGGCCCTCGAGGAGCCAGTGGACTACAAGCAGAGCGTCCTGAACGTGGCGGGCGGGCCAGGTGGCAAGCAGGCGGCGGCGGAGGAGGAGCTGGACGCCGAGGACCGGCCGGCCTGGAACAGCAAGCTGCAGTACATCCTGGCCCAGATCGGCTTCTCCGTGGGCCTCGGCAACATCTGGAGGTTCCCCTACCTGTGCCAGAAAAACGGAGGCGGTAAGAAGCAGGCCTGCTGGCCCTGGGGTACCCTGCGCATGGGCTGGGCTGAGGGGTGAAAAGGACCCCCGCTCCCCCGCCCTGGGCAGAATGGAAACCCTTGTAGGTTGGAGCTTAGTGTTGCGGAGTAAGACCCCCAAGAACTGCTAAGCGCTAAGAGCTATCAAGAACCCGGACAGCCAGGGTTCAAGTCCCTGCCAAGCCAGTCAGCTCTTTGCATGCAGCCTCGGTTCTTTGTTCCTCATCTGTAAAATGGGAATAATAGTTATTCCTGCTGTACAGGAGAGTTGGGAAGATGAAAAGAGCTTTGCATGTAGAGTGCTTATAACATGGTGTCTTACACATTGTAAAGAGCAGCTTCTGGCCATTATATTAAATGCTTACTAAGTGCCTAAGCACTTACTGGATATTAGTCTGAAATAAATGACAATGCTGATATTTGAGCATCTTGGAATAATCAAAGCATCAGTTTCATGTGGTTCAACCATTGAATCCCCTCAACAACCCCATGTTGTTATCATCCTCATTTAAGAGACTGCAAAACTGAAGCACAGAGAGGTTAGGTAACTTGCTCAAGGTCACACAGCTACTGATAAAGTCAGAATTCAAGCCTGGACAGCTTGGCCCCAGGGCCTGCGCACGCAATCACCACACCTAGGAGGGGTCCTCATGCTGCTCGCTGAGTTTGAATCCCCTAGAGCAGCGGTTCTCAACCTGTGGGTCGCGAACAATGAAAATACATCCTGCATATCAGATATTTACATTACGATTCATAACAGTAGCAAAATTACAGTTATGAAGTAGCAATGAAAATAATTTTATGGTTGGGGGTCACCACAACATGAGGAACTGTATTAAAGGGTCGCGGCATTAGGAAGGTTGAGAACCACTGCCCTAGAGGATCGTACTCTGGTATCAAACCTCTTCTCCCCAGAGTCTGGGTCTCAACACCTACTGGGTCTCAACACCCCGAGGCAGTCTTTCAAATCCCAGGAATAACCCAGAATGAGACTCAAAACTACACCGAGACATAGACTGTTAGCGACCCAGGAGACCTCAGAGACCCTGGGATCCAGTCCCTACCGCCATCCTCTGCTGAAGTTGCTACCCCCTGAGCAGTGCTCCCTGCTGCTCAGGCTGATGGCCTGAGGCTCTCGCAGGCCTGGAACATCAAAGGAAATCCAGGTGTGTCCCTAAGTGTATTTGCTAAGGTGGAAGAGGGTGCATTTCCAAGTGATTTCAACAAGGGTTAATGTGAAAAAGCACCTCTGATGGCCCGGAAGTGCTGCCCCAGCTCACATCCCCCGAGCACTGTGCTTACTAGTGCGGCCTCGGCTGGTGGGGAGCCCAGCAGGCAAGGCAGCGCCTGGGCCTGCTGAGGGGGACGGGGCTGAGTGAAGGGTGCCAGGTGGCGGGTGGCCAGTCTGCTGAGGACCCCTCTTTGGGCACCGTTCCCTAGAGGCTTCCCTGGTTCTTCAGGGAGTGGAGAAAAGCAGTCACAAAAGATGCCAACCTACTTCTCTGACACCCCGAAACCCATCTCCCTGCACATCTTGCCACCCAAGGACATGGGGGTGAAATACACAACCAGTTGGCTGTGTCCCTTTGCTGTCCTGCAGGTCATGTCTCTCTTCTCCCATTTCCTGAGCCCAGGATCAAGACAGAATAGGTTATAAGACTGACTTGCCCTCCTGTTAGGGCCGTGATGGGGCTGCTGGTCAGTGAGGAGTGGCATCGATGTGTGCAGTGTGTGAGTTAGTGAGCTGGCTGCTATGTGTGAGGCTCAGTGGGTTGCCTGCCCTGGAAGCTTTTCCCAGTTAGCTCTATGGTCAGTTGGTTTTGTGTGTGGGGTGTGTGTGTGTGTGTGTGTGTGTGTGTGTATGCATGTGCATGTGCTGACATTGCTTATGTGAACCTGGAGGTTCTGCCCTGGCTCCCTGGATAGCGTCTGACCCTCTGTTGTCCTGATGTCCCCTCATTGCGTATGCCTGGTACAGATTAGGTAACAGCTGACTGTTGCCCAGTGCCAGGTCTCGTGCCCAGGAGATGCCCATCCCTCAGGTTTGTTGGCAGATTGAGCACATATTGGGGAGCATGTGGGATGTCATGGGATGGGGGGCAGAGCGGTGAGGCTGGAGGGTCTATTGGAGACTCCCAGCTCACTGGGCTTGGTCTGGGGGTGCTGGGTGACCATCAGGGCACTGGTGACTGGTGCTGGTCTGGCCCCGTTAGACGGACAGGCAGGGCTGTGCCAACAGCATTGCTAACAGGACTAGGTCATTGGCACAGCTCTCGACGGGATCGCTCGTCTGTGTCCAGACAAGATTTTAATTTTCCTGCTAAATGCCCTGTCACTGGAAACGAGATTGTCTGCTGTGAAGCCCAGGACAGAGTTTAATTTATCATCTGGAATCTTCAGCGATTCCATTCTCTCCTAATGATCTTCCCAGCTCCACTGTCCTGAGCTGCTAATTTCTCCCCGCTCCTCCCACTTAGCTATAGACTCACGGCCACGCTGGTCAGACCTGTCTCCCTGCGGAGCCTCCGCTTCCCCAGAGCCGTCCTGTCTGGCCCTGGGCGGGGTCTGTGCCCCAGGGCCACTCCACCTGGGCTGCTGCTCTGGGTGGGAGGGTGGTGAACAGTTGTCCCCAGAGTACATCGCTGGGTCAGTGTGTCTGCTGGCCTGTGACTGGATATGTGGATTCTGAGAGGCAGTACAGTGTCTGTCTGCCCGCCTGCCCGCCTGTCTGTCTGTCTTTGGGTCTAGCCTTGTAAGCGGGAGGCATTGATGTACCTTGGACCCTCCCTTCGTGTTTCAGGTGAGGGGAATCCTGGGAAGGGGGAGGGTTTGGGTGACCGGAGTGGTCAGCCACACCGATGAGCCAGACCATCCCTGGAGGAACACAAGGACCAGGGGTGGTTTGAGATGATCGGAGATGTGGGCCGGACGGTAGGCCTGGCTGCCAGCCCTCCTCACCCTGGTGCCAGCCTCAGACACCTTTCCACATCCCCTCTCCTCCCAGGTGCCTACCTGGTGCCCTACCTGGTGCTGCTGATCATCATCGGGATCCCGCTCTTCTTCCTGGAGCTCGCCGTGGGCCAGCGCATCCGCCGGGGCAGCATCGGCGTGTGGCACTACGTGTGTCCCCGCCTGGGCGGCATCGGCTTCTCCAGCTGCATCGTGAGTCGGGGGCTGGCCCTGGGCCCTTCCTGGGAGGCAGAGGGGCTGCTCTTGGGTGCAGGGTCTCCAGACAGGAGTCCTGGGCCGGGTCAAGGACAGGGAAGGAGCCCTCAACGTGGGAGTTGCTCCCAGCTGGTGTCTCGGGACCATTATCTCCTAGACTGGAAGTTGTTGTCACTGCCTGAAGCGGGGTATAAACTTGGGAATGTTATGAAGGAGGAAAGGCCAGGACATGTCACAGGGGGTGCGGGGACATCTCTGCTGGAGTTCAGGGACATGTAAGCCACCCCGCTACTCCGCTCTGCTTACCAGCCCATCAGCTCCCTGCGAGGGAGGCCCTTCCTCTTTCCTTGGGTAAAGAGAATGTTAACTGGGAAAGTGGGTGGCAGGAAAAGGCAGCCCTGGGCACGGGCATCCTTGTCATGTTTCTGTGCTCATGGGCAGAGCTGGAGGAGGGTCAGACAGGAGCGCCCGGAGGGGTGAGGCTTTGGCACAGCGGGAGGCAGGAGACCCCTGGATGGGGGGCTCATCCACTGGCCTGCATAACACTCTGGGGAGGACAGCGAGCCTCCCTTAGGGATACAGCCCAGGTGCCCACGCTCACCTGGGACAAAACAGGGATCTGCTTCTGGAAGGGACCGAGGATGCAGAGCCCGGGGGAGGGTCAGTGCAGCTGCCTTGCATGCTGGGCATCGCCCCTGCACAGGTGCACACAGCTGCACAGAGCCCACTCTGCTGGGGGGTCCCCTTGGACTAAAAGCACACAAGTAAAGGAGTGGGTGCCCCTCTGTATCCCCTAACATGTGCTATGGGAGCGTCTGCTCCTGCACACCAGGGCTCGGGTGAAATCAGGTGAAGTCGATGAAGCGAGGGGCCCTCGGCTGTCTCCCGGGCCAGCAGGGTCACTGGTGCATAGTCATAGAGCTGCCCCGGGAGGTGGCGGGGCCTGTTACGGTCCATGCAGCGCGAGAAAGCACTGCTTTCAAAGAAGCGCCTGGGAGCCCAGGTTAGTTCTACCAAAGGTAATTCTATCGCTTCCAAGAAATGAGAAGGGACATTCTCCTGGAGATGAGAAACGAGAACTGACGTCTTTGTAGAGGCGGTTGCAGACCGTCCAAGGGAGAGGAGTGTCCCGAGAGAAAGGTGGGCACAGGAAACCAATAAGAAGCATCCAGAAAATCCCAAAAGGCACCCCAGTCTGGGCATTGTGACTATGGAGGCAGAGCTGTGCGGGTCCCACACCCCGGGGCAGCTCTGACACTGTGCAGCCGAGGCATCGGGAAAGGATAGGTAGTGCTCTCAGCCTCCTAGAAGAATGAGAAACTGGAAAGGATTAACATGTTATGTGTTTATTGCTTAAAGGAGAGACTTTAATATGGGAAGCATTCCTCGGTGGATTCTTTGAATACCAGATGAATGGAGGGTTAGGAGGGGCCTTGGCTGCCCCATCTCCTCCCCGCTCCTCCTCCTTGTGGGGTTGGGGGTGGGGGTAGGAAGGGAGGGGTCTTCCTGCCGCCCCCATGACCCCTGCCCTTGGGCCCTTGTCCTCAGGTCTGCCTCTTTGTTGGGCTGTATTATAATGTGATTATCGGCTGGAGCATCTTCTACTTCTTCAAGTCCTTCCAGTACCCACTGCCCTGGAGTGAATGTCCTGTCGTCAGGAATGGGACCGCGGCAGGCAAGTACGGGGGCCCCTGAATGTGACCAGCTGGGGACCCCAGCCAGCCCTGTCCCAGGAAGGAGTCAAATGAGCCAAAGAGGCTTAGACAGAGATTTGGGATTGCAATGACTTGCTGTGTTACCTTGAAGAAGACACCTGCCCTCTCTGATCCTCCTTTCCCCTTCCGATGCCCTCTCACCAGCCTGTAGTTCTTAATGGGATTGAATGAACTAGTAAGTGCAGGTAAAACTCTGCAAATGGGGACTCTTTTTTAGTTGTTATCCACTACCCTGTGCTACTCAAATACCATCCTCTCCTGAAACAGTTTTAATTTGTATGCGCTTTCCATCAAGGCCTGGATGATTTATCCCACCTCACAGATGGGCAAACTGAGGCCCAGAACAACTTTCCTGAGGTCACACCATTGATTTAGCCAAGGGAGGGAATCCAGGTCTTCTGCTCCCAGCTCAGGACCTTCCCGAGTTCTGCCTTACCCTTCCTGCCCTCCACAGATGGGCGTGGGCAGGGGGTGGCATGAGCGGGAATATAGATTAATGAGTCCTAAGGCCTCCCAGGCCCTGTTGGGAGCCCAGGAGTCCTTGGGGTCTTCGATCCTGGCTAACCCAGAACAGGCACAGCCCCTCCCTGTGGCCCTGCCCCCTTGCCCGCTGCCTGGGTGGGGGTCCAGGCCCCGCCACTGAGGCTCTGCTGCCATTGCAGTGGTGGAGGCGGAGTGTGAAAAGAGCTCGGCCACCACCTACTTCTGGTACCGAGAGGCCTTGGACATTTCCAACTCCATCTCGGAGAGTGGGGGCCTCAACTGGAAGATGACCCTGTGCCTCCTCGTGGCCTGGACCATTGTGGGCATGGCCGTCATCAAGGGCATCCAGTCCTCGGGGAAGGTGAGTTGGGAGGGGCCACTCAGACCCCACAGCCTGAGAAAAGGGTGGAGGGCAGGGGGCCAAGAGATCCGGGTCGCCCCACGCAGGGTCCTGTCGGTGGGCTTGGCCTCCGGATGACTCGGGATGAGGTCACAGGCTCCCGAGGAGGCTATGGAGTGTCATTGCTACAGCATCGTTCCTGGTGGACAGATCCTCAGAGGGCTGCACACAGGTCTCTGCAGTGCAGACCAGCAGAGCCCCATACACCTTCTCCCTCAGTTCATTCCCCTCCAAATATGCTCATGCTTTTAGTCACCTGTCACTATTCATGCACTGCCAGGGCTGGAGAGGACGTTAGGGATCCCGCAGCCCAATCCACTCATTTTTCAGGTGAGGAAACTGAGGCTGAGGGAGGGGAAAGCACCTCCTCATGCACTGCCAGGGCTGGAGAGGACGTTAGGGATCCTGCAGCCCAATCCACTCATTTTCAGGTGAGGAAACTGAGGTCGAGGGAGGAGAAAGCACCTCTCTGAGATCATACAGTCAGTCTGTCCGTCCTGGAGCTGGAATTAGAGCCCTGGCTGGCTGGCTGGGCCTCAGGTTCTTTACCAGACTTGATGAGCAAGGACGCCAAGCCTTTGGAACAGTAGCGTGGTCTCAGCCACCTCCTCTTCCCTCTCTAGAGTTTAAAATTGTAGCCGACACTTTGTGGTGCTTAGTGTATGAATGCCTGTGATCCACAGCCACCTTATGGGTTAGGAGTTACTGTACCCATTTTATAGATGAGGCGATGGAGGCACGCCGAGGCTAAGTACATCGCCCAAGGTCACGTGCCTCCTAAGTGTCTAGCTGCGGACACGCACACTCCTGACGGCCACACCGCCTGCCCGGCGGTCCTCCTGATCTGTTTCAGTGCAGCGAACATGGCGTGAGCATCTTCTTCGCGTGAGGCTCTGTGCCAGGCACATGGGGATGTGGAAACGCGCAAGAAACACACATGCTAGAAAATAGGACATGATTTATAATCACAAGAGGCAGGACCTTCTTCTGATGTTTTTGCTTGGGAGCCGTGACTGTAACCTCCTGGAGGCCTTCTGTCAAAGGCCTCTAAGGACAGGGGAGACCCTCAGGGGGTCCGCTGGAGCCAGGGACAGAAACGCAGGCTCCAGACATGAAAAAACTGAGGAAGGGAGAGCAAAGGGTTCCTCGCCCCCTGGCGCCCTGGGGGGGGCGGGGGGGCTGCAGGCCCAGCCATGCTGACTCCAGCTTTCTGGGCTCCTGTTTCTGCCTTGGCTCCAGGCCAGACATGCGGTGGGGTTGGCCCCGTGCCCAGGGTCCCGGGCTCTGCTTTCTGCAGCTATCAGCGGGGCTCATGTGCCCCAGCTGTGAGGGGGAGGGAGGTGCCAGCTGCAGGAGGGCCCTGTCCCACGGTGGGTCCCTGTCTTCCCTGCAGGTGATGTATTTCAGCTCCCTCTTCCCCTACGTGGTGCTGGCCTGCTTCCTGGTCCGGGGGCTGCTGCTGCGAGGGGCCGTCGATGGCATCCTGCACATGTTCACGCCCAAGGTAGGCATCCGGGCACCCCAGCTGCACCGCTCCATCAGCTTGTGGGGCATAACACTCCGGGGGACGTGCTGGGTGTCAGGCCCTGGAGGGATGCCCTGGGGACGGAGCATGGGCCCTGCCCTCAGGGTCCCCAGGAAAGGGATAGCGAATTTATTTGGTTGGAATCAGAAGCAGCTTCAGGGAGGAGGTGACACGGGAACTGAGCCTCCGGGAGCAGGTAGGATTTCATGAGTGGCAGGAGGACGTTGCAGTCCAAGGAACCGCGTGAGCATGAGTGTGAGAAGCACCGGGCGTGCTTGAGGGAAGTCAGGCTTGGCTGGAGCACGGGGACAGGGAGGGGGGATTCATGGGTGCATCTGTGACAGCAGAAACCAAGAAGGTGCCTCAGAGAAGGAAGCTCCCCCGGGAACCACGGCTTGTACCCAGGTCAGGAGAACAATGTGACTGTTTTATCAGAGACAGTGGACCACATGGATAGTGGCTGCCCTCAGCGACTCCATCCTCATCTCTCCTCCCAGTGGCCCAGGGAGGGGCCAGGTCAGATCACTGTGCCCGTTTCACACGCCCGTGCAGGCGTCCTGAACATGGTCACCCAGGCTTCCTCCCGGTGGGCTCTGCCCACCATGTGTCCCTGCCTCTCTTCCCTTTTAGACCACTGGGCACAGCTGGTCCACTGAGGAGCAAGAGAATGTCAACTGCAGGTTGGGATGTCCTTCAAGGTACCCCAAGCAATGGAATTAGTAACCCTGTGGGCAGGCTGAGAAGCCCACCCCCAAATGCCAGCTGACCAGCCACCAGCAGGGGCCGGTGAGACCCCAGCCCATGGGCCTGGGTCAGAACCCCCCCAAGTTCAGGTCTTAGCATTGGCCCTCAATAGTGCCATGTCCCACGTGTGTCACACACACACACATGCACACAGTTACACAGAAAGTTCGTGCAGATCACACAGAGAGAAGAGTCCTGATCCAGTGGGTTTGAAACCCCATCCCCTCCCCACTCCCCCATGCACGCAGCTGTGCACAGCTCCCGGTGTCGGGGGTGGCAATGTGCAGGACACACGGCTCCATCGTCGCCAGACCGCAGGAGCCGGCCCTCGGCATGCTGGGAAGTGACTTCTAAGGTTTCCATGGGAACCACCGCGGAGGTCCACTTTACGAAGCACTTAGTGAATCTCCGGAGGCATGAGTGTGACTCGGGCCACGTGGCTGGCGCGGGTGGTTGTGAACACGTGGTGTCTGACAAAGGAGAAAAATGCAAACCTGCTTTCTTTGGGGGAAACCAGCCCTAAGAAGAAAGCCGACTGTTTTATGAATGACTTAACTCTGTTTCTAGAAGCTGCCTAATGTGAACAGTGAGTCTTTCAGTTTTACTTTACTGAGCTTTGTGAGCAAAGGACAGACCCCAGAGACGGTGGTAAATGTGGAGATGCACCAGGTCTCCAGATGGGCCCCTGCTGGTGGTGGGAAAGCGGGGGCTTAATTCCAGGAGCAAGGGAACTGGACTGTGACGCCGGCTGCCGGGCCGAGCACAGACAGCGCTGCTCCCATTTGATTCAGACGCTCTTTAAAACATCTTGTTGTTTTATCTCAGGCATATAAGCACACATACTTAATAATACAATACACATTCTTAAGAAATAAAATACTACAGATGCCGTATCGTCACAGCTCGCTCTGATCCCACACCCTTCCTCCCCAAAGATAACCACTATCCTGAATTGGGGTTTATCCTGCTACTACATTAAAATACTTTTTTGGAAAACATATATGCATGTCCATGAACAACACATAGCCATTTTGCGTACTTCTAAACTTTACATGAACAGCATCATATTATATAAACCTTGTTTTTATTTTTGCTCAACACTTTTGAGATTTAGCTATAATGGTATTTGTAGCTCTAGTACATTCGTTTTCGCCGCGGTATAGTATTCCACTGCAGCACTAAACTCAAATGGATTTATTCATTCTCTGGTTGACCATCGTTTAGGTTTTTCCCAGTGTTCACCGTTGCTGGTAACGCTACAATGAACATTATTACACAGGTCTTCATGTGCACAGGCCCTCTGGGTGTATGTGTTGAGGAGTGGAATTGCTATCCCAAAGGGTATGCATAGCTTCAGTGTTCCTAGATGTTGGCCAAATTGCTCCAAAGAGGTTGCGTCTGTTAACACTCCCACCAGCTGTGTGTGTGAGTCCCAGTGGTTCCACATTTGTTAGACTTCAGTTATCATCAATCATGTGGGTGCAGAATGGTTGATGTGCATTTTGAACAGCAGCGGCGGGAGCTCCTTTCCAGCACCCTTTCCTGGAGTTCAGGAAACCGTGTAATCCCACTTTAGCAGAGGCCAGAGTCTTCATGAGGCGAAGTATAAAGAAATAAATCCAGAAGGCTCTGGAAGATCCAGGTCCCCAAGAATCAGCAGGCGTGGCCCCTGGCCCACTGAACCTGGTGACTTTCGGTCCCGATGAAATCTGTGGGGTCCATCTTGAGACCTTGCCCACTGAGCAGTTATGGGGCAGCTCCTGCCTTTGACCCTGGAGGGATGTGTTCAACAAAGAGAGGGGGCCTGAAGGTCAGCCACGTCCAAAGCTGCCCAGAGATCCGGTCATGAGGACTGAGAAACGGCCGAAGCACTTGGCCACAGAGGGGTCGCGTGATCTCGACAAGAGCAGTTGAGGTGGTGGCGTGCTGGGGACAGTCTCATAGTAATGGGTTCACGGGAACAATGAAGGTGAGAAATTGGAGACAAGGGATAGAAACCACTTATTTTCAGGAGTTTTGCTGTAACGGGGCACAGCCATGAGAAGTGGGGTGCTAACTGGATAGGGCCATGGGATCAAAGATGTTATTTCAGAATTTTATATAAAAATAAGCCATCAGACCCTGCTGGTGGGGATGGAAACGGTGCAGCTGCTCTGGAAGAACAATCTGGCAGTTCCTCAAAAGGTTAGGCAGCGTTAGCATGTGACCCAGCAGCTCCCCTCCTGGGCACACATCCAAGAGAGCGGAAAACATGTGTCCACACGAAGACTTGTACACCAGTGTTCATGCACCATTGTTCACAATAGCCAAACAGCAGAAGCAGCTCAAGTACCCATCAGTGGACGAATGGAAAAGTGAAGGACAGCCTATCCATACGATGGACTCCTTACCCAGCCATCAGAAGGGGTGAAGTTCCCATCCATGTGTGGGTGAGCCTTGAAGACATTATGCTAAATGAAGGAAGCCATTCACAAAGACCACATGTCGTATGATTCCATTTACACGAAACATCCAGAACAGGCAAATGTGTACAGACAGAAAGCAGATCAGGGCTGGGTTTGTGGGCAGGTTGGGGGAGACATGGGGAGTGGGTGTTACTGGGTACAGACTCTCTTTTCGGGGTGCTGAAGATGCTCTAACATTGATGATGGTCATGGCTGCTCCATGTTCTAAAACCTAGTGTGGTAATGGCTATTAAGTTGTGTTCCGAGACTGTGTTTCCAATATGGGGGGGAGGTGTTCCCCACGCCTCCAACAAGCGCTTCTCGGAAACCAGCTGGGAGTCTGAGAATTCAGCTCAATTCCACTCCATTCTGGAACTACCCAGAGGTAGCATGACATCTCCCAGGTTAGGAGTTCAGTCCTACAAGGCCGCCCTCCCCAGACGCTAGTCACAAGCCTGGGATGTCACCTGGACTTCTGACCTGCTGACTAGAAATAAGAGGTTCCCACGACCCCCTCCTGGGGTTCCATTAATTTGCTAGAAAGGCTCACGGAACTCAGAGAGACGTGGTACTACATCACTGGTTTATAATTAAGGATATAACTCAGGAAAAGGCAGGTGGAAGAGCTGCTTGGGGCAAGGAACGGGGGCAGGGTGGGAGCTCCCGTGCCCTGCAGGTGAGCTACTCTCCCCTCATCTCCACGTGCTCACCGGCCTGGAAGCTCTGGGGCCCAGTCCTCTTTGGTTTCTATGGAGACTTCGTTACGTAGACATGATTGATGGAATCATTGGCCACTGAGGACGGATTCAACCTCTAGTCCCTCTCCCCTCCCTGATGCTGGGGTGGGGGTGGAAGTTCCAACCTTCTAATCACTGGTGGGTTCTCCTGGCAACCAGCCCCCCCTCCCCCTTAGTTAGGGTCCTCACTCACCTAACACAAGGCACCTTTATCGCTCTCCACACTTAGGACATGCGAGGGTTTCAGGGCTGGGAGGGGACTGTGGATGGAGACCAAGTGTCTCATCTTCACAGTACCGCAGCGCACAGCTCTGAGATGTGCTAGAAACCACTGGATCGCACACCAAACAAATCCAGGAAAGGGCGAGTCCATGCCGTCAGAGGGAAGGCGACCAGTGTCCTTGAATAAGCAGGGGAGATGGGACCCCGTGCCCCGGGGGGAAATTGGTCTTAGTGGGGAGCACACCCTGTCCCCGCAGGAGCAGGAGGGACGGGCCAGCCTGCGGGCACAGACACTGGCAGCTGAGGGGCTGTGGTGAGGAGCTGCTCATGGCGGGCGTTCTGCGATGGTGTCATTTTTCTCTGAGAAGTAGCAGCAAGGTCACCGGCTGAGTTAGAAGGAGGGAGGAGGGCTGGAGCCTCAGGAGTGAGTGTGAGTAACTGCATGAGGGGGGGATGCATGCGGCACGCAGGGCTCCCGGAGGTCAGGGGAGGGGAGCGTGTGGTGGGCTGGGCCAGCGGTGCTTAGATCGATCGCGTGTTTCACAATGCATGGTGCTTCCTGTGCCGGCGCCGTGGCACGCACCTCCCACGCATTCGCTCTGTAAGCTCATACCAGCCCTGGAGGTAGGCACTGCTGTTACCACGTGGACATCTCTGGTGTGGACAGTAGGGGAGAAAGGGGGAGAAATACACACACACAGGCGTGCACACATATGTGTGTATAAATACGCTGACATTAAACATCTCCGGGAGGGGATGCAAGAGACTGACGTCATGGTTGCATCTCGGGAGGGAGCAGGGCGCCTGGGATACTGAGGTGAGAAGAGGGAGACCTTACTGTGGACCCTTCCCGCCTGTTGGTTTTGAACCGCGTGACTGTGTTACCTGTAAGCAGTCACCATGAAGGAGCCGCGCCAGCCTCGGGGTTGGGATCAGCACCAGCTGAGCTCCGGGCGTCGCCACCTCTGGGTCTGGGCAAGTGGGCGGTCCTGAGAGTGAGCCGGACTGGCCACAGGGTCCAGGGTGTGCAAGGATCGCTAGAGAAGAGGGTGGCTCCCTGTGAGGCCCAGAGGCCCAGAGGGAGTTCATGGTGGGACTTGCAGGCTCCCCCAGCTAGAGCGGCTCTGAGCAGGACCAGGCAGCCCAGCCTCGCCACCAGAGGGCAGGCTCAGAGCCAGGTGATGGGGCCAGATCCCAGCTCATCACTTGGCGCTTGGCAGCCGGGAGGGCAGGGTCCTTGGCCCCTCTGGGCCTCCGTTTCCTCGTTTCCTCGGCTGCTAGATGGGGTGAGCCATGGCGGCTCTGGCACAGTTGTCGGGAGAGTGCAGGACCGCTGCTGCGTGCAGAGCGCGCCGTGAGCGTCAGCGAGTATGGCTCTGTCCCTCTGAAGGTGACTCTGCCTGTAGGCAATGGGAGCCCGGGGCTCCAGTGCCACCTGGTGTCCCGCAGTCTGTCTGGCTCTCGCACTGGCAGGGGCCTGGCAGGGCCAGGGAACAAGGGCGTGCGCTCCCGTCACGAGCCGCTCGGGCTGGGAGCTCGGCAGCTGCTTGTGGATTCAAAAAGCATCTTCGTGCCACTGAGCCAAATGCCACGAACACCTTGTTCCCTGCGCGAGGCAGTGACTCAGCCATTGTGCCAAGGAAGTGACGGGAAGCTGTTGCTCTGGGGGAGGCACCCCGAAAAGGGTGTGAGCCTCGTCTTCGGTGGGGAAGCCCGGTTCCCACCTCCCCTCCTGCAGTCACACTCTGACGTCCCGAAAGGACACTGAGCTTCCTAAGGTCGGGCCTTGGGTTCACTCTCTGTGGACACTGTGATCATACCTCCAGGGCTGGTATGAAATCATGTGCCATCACCCAGCAATCCTGAAAGAGCCCCTTCAGGTTCAAGGAACAGCAGGCCTCCAGCTCAGGTCACCTTAGGACACAGGTCAGCTTTGCCTGCCTGTCTGTCTGTCTGTCTGCCCCCCTTCCCTTCCACGTGTCAGGCACTGCTCATGCAAAGACAGCAAGTGGGCTCCATCCCTCAGAAGCACAAAGTGTAGAAAGGAAGATGACACACACACACCAATAATTCCGGTGTTACAGAGGGCTGTGAGAGCCGAGGACCGTGACTAGCTCTGCTAGAGGCCGGCAGGAAAAGCTTCAGAGCGGAGGTGATATTTGTGCTGGGTTTTGAGATATAAATAGGAGTTCACCAAACAGTGAGTAGGAGGAAGGAAATTCCAGGCAGAGAGAACAGCCTGGGCAAAGACCACAGGTAGGAGATCATGGTGCTTTCGAAGAATGGCACACAATTTACTTTTCTTATTTATTATTATTTTAAAATATATTTTTATTGATTTCAGAGAGGAAGGAAGAGGAGATAGAAACATCAATGATGAGAGAATCAATCTTCTGGTTGGAGCCCACAACCCGGGCATGTGCCCTGACCGGGAGTTGAACCGTGACCTCCTGGTTCATAGGTTGCCGCTCATCTGAGCCACGAGATAGAAACATCAATGATGAGAGAATCATTGATCTGGTTGGAGCCCACAACCCGGGCATGTGCCCTGACCGGGAGTTGAACCGTGACCTCCTGGTTCATAGGTTGCCGCTCAATCTCTGAGCCACACTGGCCGGGTTGGCGCACAATTTAAAACTTATGAATCATTTATTTCTGGAATTTTCCATTTAATATTTTCAAACTGCAGTTGACCATAGGCAGCTAAAACCATGGACAGCAAAACCACAGATAAGGGAGGATGACTATGTTTTTCTTTTTTCTAATCTTCACGTTTCTATTAGGAGCATGGCTAGGCCCCAGTTCCTTATTCACAACGCCCGAACCCAAATAGCCCTGGAAAATAGAAGTGATTTTCTTTCTCTGGGATGGAACTCATTTTGTGGCAAAATGACCTGCACAGCTGGGAGGCTATTTATAGTCCTCATTGATGCGCTGGTGTGAACTGCCGTCTTCTGCGGCAGAAACACGAATGCGTTTGATTACAGGTTTGTCCCAGGCCCGCTCAGGGTGGCATGTAGCTCTGTGGCATACGCACCAGATTCCCTTTTGACAATAGAATTAGAAACGAAACCCTGATTTCCAAAACCAGGCTGGCCCCGGGTGTGTGGGTAAGGAAGCGTGGGCCTGGATCGCTTTTGGGATGCAGGCGGCCTGCTCCATTTCTCCGGTGGTCTCGCTCTCCGTGCTGGGACCAACAGAAACCGCGTCCACCTGTCTGCACGTTCAGCCCTCCCTCCCAGCCCATCTGGCCCCCAGCAGGTGATTTCGCCTCCTGCTTTACGGGCCGCCTTAGTCAGGAGGCGGTGGTAGGAGGGCACCATGGCCTGGCGGGCGATGATCTGTATTTTAGAAACTCCCCTGCCCCGACGAGTGAGCTCCATTACTGTGAGCAACTCATTTCACCTTTGGGCCTCAGTTTACTCTTTCAGTATCCCTGCCCCCACCCCCGCCCCCCACTTCTCTGTCTCTACCAGGTCAGAGGCATTTGCTGGATCAAATGCTACTACGTGCCAGGCATGACTGCTGGCTGTACATTTGATTCTCACAGTCACTCTGGGAGGGAGACTCTACTATTATTCCCACTTTTCAGATAAGAAAACTGAGGCTCATGAAACAGGCACTACCACTTGCCAAGTCCTCTCGGCCGAGTGAAGGTGGGAGTCAGATGTAGAGCTGCGTCTGTCTGACTCTAATGCCCTGTGCTGGGTCCAGCTGCGGTCCCTGCTTTGCGTAACAGAGGAGACGGGATGTGAAAAGGCGTGGGAAATTGCCCCAGGCCGTCTAGATGCTGAGAGCAGACTGTGTGGCTCAGCCTCCTGACTGGCCTGAGAGCCGATGGGGTCGGGCAGGGCTTCCCCTCTCTGGAAGGGTCTTAGATTTGTGCCTCAGGTTGGGTGAGCGAGGTGGGTTCCTCTGTGACCTGGGGCATGTAGGTGTGTATGAGTGAACCTTTTCTTTCTGGGACCAGGGAGAGCAGGTGGGAGGAGGAAGATGGTGGTGTCTTTGTTTATGGCTTGAGGTGGAGGAAGTCTCAGGGAGACCTTGATGTTCGCAGTTCTCAGGCTGCACACTGGACACTCTAGGAGGCACCATTCACACTCTAGTCTAAGTGAGTGGCACTCCCTAGAGTTGTGCACTGCACACCATGTCTGATGGCCCTGGAGATGCTCCTTCGCGAGATAGCCCCGCGGTCAGCCGTGATCGCAGTTAAAACGAGCAGGGAACTGACTGTGCAAGTGTGTGCGTCCATTCTGTCATGCCTCAGCCCGACAGTGAGCCTTTACCAACATGCTCCTGGATCTGCGTTTTACCGGCGACAGTTCCAGGGGGTGAGGGGACATGTCCAAGGTCACACAGCACCGCTCTTCCCCACTGTGCCTTGAGCCTTTACCAACATGCTCCTGGATCTGCGTTTTACCAGCGACACAGTTCCAGGGGGTGAGGGGACATGCCCAAGGTCACACAGCACCGCTCTTCCCCACTGTGCCTCGGGGCCTCTGCACTCCGCTGAGGCTGAGGAAAGGGGGGTTGGTGGGAACTCCGTTGCACTTGAATGAAACCATTACTGTGTGTCTCCTTTCTTCTCCTGCCATGGTCCCCTCCCGCATAGCTGGATAAGATGCTGGACCCGCAGGTGTGGCGGGAAGCGGCCACGCAGGTCTTCTTCGCCCTGGGGCTGGGTTTCGGGGGCGTCATCGCCTTCTCCAGCTACAACAAGCAGGACAACAACTGCCACTTCGACGCCGCCCTGGTGGCCTTGATCAACTTCTTCACCTCGGTGCTGGCCACCCTCGTGGTGTTTGCTGTGCTGGGCTTCAAGGCCAACATCATGAATGAGAAATGCGTGGTTGAGTAGGTGGCGCCTCCTCCTGCCCTTTCTCCTCCCTGTCCACCCTCCCGGGAGGGGCAGGCGGGCCGTGGGTGGGGAGTCCCTGTCCCTGGGCTGAGGATGGAGATCAGGGGAGCTCTCCATCCAAGCCCCGGACACAGGGGCAGATTCACAGATGCCTCTGCTAATGGCCAGCAGGTCCCACCTGGGTGCCAGGAGGTGCCCCCAGGTTTGTGCTCACCGCTGCCTTTTTACCTCATCTTCTCCCCTTTGTGCTGCAGGAATGCTGAGAAAATCCTGGGGTACCTCCACTCCAACGTCCTGAGCCAGGACCTCATCCCTCCCCACGTCAATTTCTCCCACCTGACCACCAAGGACTACTCGGAGATGTACAAGGTCATCATGACTGTGAAGGAGGACCATTTCTCAGCCCTGGGCCTGGACCCCTGCGTGCTGGAGGACGAGCTGAACAAGGTGTGGGACGGGCTGGGAGGCAGACAGGCCAGGGGTGGCTGGGGTTTGGGTGCGGGCTCCAGAAAGCCACCAGGGACCCATTCATTTACTTGATAAGCAAGGACCTTATTTTCATGTGTCCAGAGAGGAAGAGAGGAAAGGTATCAGCTCAAACCCCTGCCCTGAGGTCAGTTGAGCCCTGGTGAGCAGGGGCCCAGCATTACTGCAGTTGTCCTCTACCTCGCCTGCCCATCAGCGTCACCTGGGGTTTTATAAAACCTGATACCCAGCTTTACCTCCTGACCAATCAAATCATTGTCCCGGGGGTGAGCCAGGCATCGGTGTTTTTAAAGGCTCCACTGTGATCATGGGGCAGGCGGGCTGAGATCACTACATTCAGGTCTGGAGTTCAGAGCTGGGAGCAATCAGGGAAGGCTTCTCGGAGGAGGAGAGTCTTGAGCTGGGTGTGTTGCTAAAAGGGAGCGCCTTCATCTGAATTACCTGGGGTCCTTGTACACCTTGCAGATTCCAGACCCCACCGTTCAACTCCTGAACTGGTTGGTGTTTTACTGCCTTGGTGGGGGCAGGATTCTGATGCAAACTCAAACCTGAGCCCCACTGGCCAAAGCAGCGGGATGTAGGTGGGAGTGGGGACCCCTGGGAAGAGGGAAGAGTCAATCCTAAAGCTCTGAGGGGCTTCCAGGGTGGGCGAGGGCCCTCACTGAGGCCTGGCCCTCCCTCCGCCCACACCCGCAGTCCGTGCAGGGCACAGGCCTGGCCTTCATCGCCTTCACCGAGGCCATGACGCACTTCCCCGCCTCCCCGTTCTGGTCCGTCATGTTCTTCCTGATGCTCATCAACCTGGGCCTGGGCAGTATGATCGGGACCATGGCGGGCATCACCACGCCCATCATCGACACCTTCAAGGTGCCCAAGGAGATGTTCACAGGTACCTCCTGGCAGCCTCCCCCGCCTGCGGGCCGCCTGCGGGGATGATGGGGTGTGGCTCTGACGGAGAAACCCTGGGTTCTGACTCATTCCTGACCCACAGGGCTGGGCCTGCTGCAGGGTGGGCTGTAGGCCTGGGGGTGGGCGTTGGGGGGGCCTGGGTGCCCCCAAGAGCCCCGGGCCCGCCCACCGCACCCCTGCCCCCACACCGGCCTCCGGCTCTCTGTAGTGGGCTGCTGTGTCTTTGCATTCTTCGTGGGGCTGTTGTTCGTCCAGCGCTCGGGAAACTACTTTGTCACCATGTTTGACGACTACTCGGCCACCCTGCCGCTCACCGTCATCGTCATCCTCGAGAACATCGCTGTGGCCTGGATCTACGGGACCAAGAAGTAAGGGGCGTGGGGGTGGGGCAGGAGTGGCTCCCCTGGGAGCGCTGTTTCCCACGGCCCCAAGGCGCCGGGGTCCCAGAGTCAGGAAGCCAGAGCCGGAGGTGCTCCTGCAGATCATGTAGAGACTGAGACGCACAGAGGGCAGTGCTGCTTGGGGCTGCGGGCGCGAGTCTCCTGGGTTCAGGTCCCGTCGTCACCCTAAACTGCCTTAATGCTCACAGCACCTTTCGAAGATACCAGCTCCTCAGAATTCAGTGCAGCGTAAGCACCTAGTGGGTGTACAGGGGCCCCTGCCCTCCGCACTCATGGACTTCAGCAGCCCTACTCAGCATTAAAGCTATTTACTCAGGGTGTGAGGCAGGGCGTGGTTTGGGCCCTCCATTTGGGTGAGAGAATTGAGCAATAAGAAGGGATTAGGTCTCGTGGCCTGAGCCAAGGACAGCCCCCGGCCTCATGGCTCATGAGAGCCAATCTGTACTCCCAGAAAGCCCTGCGACCAGGTCCCCCTCACTCGCTCAGCAAGGCCAGGGCTCCACTAACCCACTCGGCCCCGCCCTCCCCTCCCCTCCCCGATGTCTGGACCTGGCCTTAGAATCGGGCTCTCTCACTGTCGCTGATCCAGCCACCCGCTTCCTGGGACAGGGCAGCGGGCGGTGACAAGGCAGGGAGCAGCCGTGAGCAGGGCTGGGACACGCTGCTCGGAGGTGCTGACCTCAGCAGCCTGGGGAGGCCCCCGTGCCCGTCTCGGAATGCTATTTTTAAATGCACATGATAAAATAGAGAGCATTGTACAGGCAACTCGTTATATTGACAATTAGCAAAATACTGTTTCAAATCTGAGATGTGATATCTGTGTACTTTATTTTTTTTAATATGTTTTTATTGATTTCAGAGAGGAAGGGAGAGGGAGAGAGATAGAAACATCAATGATGAGAGAGAATCATTGATCGGCTGCCTCCTCAGGCCCTACACTGGGGATCAAGCCTACAACCTGGACATGTGCCCTGGCCAGGAATTGAACCGTGACCTCCTGGTTCCTACCAGCCGGGCTCTGACTTTATTTTTACTGCATTACATTGTAAGATCTGGCTGTGGGTTTCATAGCAATGGTAACTCCGGAGCAGCTGTGAGCATAAGTGATCTTAGTAGGTCTCTTCAGTTGTAATGTGATAGGAACATATCTGAGATTTAATCAGTTGCTGGCAGTCACAGGAACAGTTAACACTACAGTGGTTGTTTGCATTTGTAATAGAAAGAAATGCAAGATTTCGGTTAGGTGTTATTGAGGTAGAGATGATTTTTTAAATGCCATTCGTGGGCACAGTCTGCGAGCCCCCCCAGAATTCCACCCACCGGCACTGTAGTTAGAAATCCCTAGTCAGGGCAGCCTTCTGGACACTAGGGAAGTGCACTTCCCCTTCTTTTCCAGCAGGGGGAGTCTAGAGCCAGGCCAGTGCGAGTGGGGGTGGGGGCTGCCCAGAGCACAAAGCCCTCTGGTGCCGCCTGCCAGGCAGAGTGTGTCCTGCGGGTTGTATATATCCTGGGTGGGTGTGATTTGATGTAGTCAGAGGATCTTAGAGGAAGACAGCAGAGCCTGCCCCGAGGCCAGTCGGCCACAGATAATATACCAGGAGCGCTGAATGTGAAGAATGGGTGGGATGGTCAGAGAAGGCTTCCTGGAGGAGGAGGCTGTGGAGGAATACGCAGGCACAGTGGGGGTGCCAGCTTCCGGCCCTCTGCTGCCCCTGGCAGGTTCATGCAGGAGCTGACGGAGATGCTGGGCTTCCGGCCCTACCGCTTCTATTTCTACATGTGGAAGTTCGTGTCTCCCCTGTGCATGGCTGTGCTCACCACAGCCAGCGTCATCCAGCTGGCGGTCACGCCCCCAGGTTACAGCGCCTGGATCAAAGAGGAGGTGAGGGGTGGCAGCCTGGGGCCCGGGGACATGGGGACCTTCCCAGGCCTTTAACGCAACAGGTGATAGAGATCAACCCTCATGGGGCAATTGCTATGTGCCCGGCCCTGCTGGGGGCGTTGCACACCTGACTGTAACCTTTCCAACAGCCCAGGGCGAGGCGGCATCGTCCCTGTGGTACAGACAGGGACACGAGGGTCGAAAGGCTAACGCCCTTGTCCCTCTTTCTAACCCGTGCTTTCTCGCCCTGGTGTGGAGTGGACTCACCCACCCTTTGTGCAAGTGCAGAAACTGGGGTGCAGAAGACCGGCTACCTCAAGTAGCAGTCGCTGCTGCCCCTCATCTCTGCTGGTGCCAGACGGTGGTGGGGTGGGGAGAGGACGGAAGAGGGGCCCTGTGCGGGTAAGGGGTGGCAGTGCCAGGCACCGGCCCTCACCCCCGCCCACCCCCAGGCTGCCGAGCGCTACCTGTATTTCCCCGACTGGGCCATGGCGCTCCTGATCATCCTCATCGTCGTGGCGACCCTGCCCATCCCCGTGGTGTTCGTCCTGAGGCACTTCCACCTGCTGTCCGACGGCTCCAACACCCTGTCCGTGTCCTACAAGAAGGGCCGCATGATGAAGGACATCTCCAACCTGGAGGAGAATGACGAGACCCGCTTCATCCTCAGCAAGGTGCCCAGCGAGGCGCCCTCCCCCATGCCCACCCACCGCTCCTACCTGGGGCCCGGCAGCACGTCGCCCCTGGAGCCCAGCGGCAACCCCAACGGACGCTATGGGAGCGGCTACCTCCTGGCCAGCACCCCGGAATCGGAGC